CATTTATATTTTCAAAAATTTCTTATTTAAAATTTCAATTGATAAATTAATTAATTAAAGATTTGAACTATTAATGTTGATATTAATTATATATCAACACATTAATATTTACAAAAATATCATATATATTTAAATATCATATATATAAAATATCATATATTTTATACTTTTTTTATAAATTTCATTTAAATAAAAAATATAATAATAATATTAAATATATTTCAATATAATACAATAATAATTATAATAATTACATTAATAGCATTAAATATTAATAATAATATAAGTAATAATAATGCAATAATTAATAATTACATTAATAATATTAAATATAATTTTTATATATTTGTAAGAATTAATTAATCAAAATTAATGAAATTTATATACATATTATATAATATTTATATTAAATTTAATTAAATTGTAAATTTATATAGTTTAAATTAAATTAAATTTATGAATTTAAATTTAATTTTAAATTTAATTATGTGAAATTATTTAAAAATAAATTATTTATAGAATAAAAATTATTGTTATTTTTTTTTATTTTTCATTTTAATTTCTTCATTTTAGTATAATAATTTAATAATAATAATATAATTATGCAAATTTTAAAACAAATGTATATCAAGAAAATAAAACATCTATTTATAAATGGTAAAATTTTTATAATATTTAATTCGAAATATTTAAATTATAATATTTAATTAGAAATAATTCTAATTCTAGAAATATTTTAATTTTAGAAATTTTCTTCTTTATTTTCTTTCTATGCAAAGCGTTTCTTGATTTCTTTTCTAATGATAGCTTTGAATTTCATGAATAATTAGCATTACTGTTCCAATATTTGCATAATCTTCTCCAAATTTCTAAATTTATATTTTCAATATCTTTCACAACAAATATTTCCTAAATTTACAGTAATTTTAAAATATTATATGAATATTCATCAATTAATAATAACGTCTAAATATATGTTATTATATTCTCAATATATATGTAATACAGAAAAATTCATTTTTTTGTATATGTATTTGCAATTGATAATAATCATCAATAGACTAAAATTTAATAAATAGTATTGATATAAATTCAAAGTGAAGAAACGATATATTATTTACAGTAAATTGTATTATATTTTTAGATAGAATTTATTGAGATAAAGACAGTATAATTTATGAGGGGTTGTTTTGAATCAATGATCCATGAAGCAATTTTAATATAAAAGAAATTTTACCTAAATCCGTAAAAATAAATTTAATTTAATTAATTTTTAAATAATTTTAAAAAATAATTTTAAAATAATATGATTTGAAAATTCCTTAAAATATTTACTATGATCATTTTCTCATGGAGTAAAAAAACGATTTCTAAATAAATCTGTGGATGTAAAGTAAAAAAAAAATTTAAAAGCAAATACTTGGAAAGTTTGAAATATGAATGAATTAAATTAGAGCAATCAAAATATTTCTCAAGTATTATTTTCGAATATTCCACGAATCATTGCTGAAATAGAATAGAAATATTACATTTTCTGAATATTTTTTTATGGTTTCATTAGTCGAATTTACAGAATATTATATAGTATATAAAATTGAAATGTAGTTACTAAAGATGTAAAAAAAATTTTTAGATCGATTTTAGATTTAAATTATTAGAAAAATAATACAATTCATAACATTTTAATTACAATAAAATTATTAGAATGTTATAATAGAATACCGTTAAAGAATCAATTTTATATTGTTAAAAATTATAATATTTTAGTTATGATAATACAATTTTTTATTTACAAATTATCTAAAATTTAAAAAAATGGTCATTTAAAAAAAAATTGTTTGAAAATTTAATTAATTTCTTTTAAAACATGTTAGAATGAATTATTTGTATAAATTGTAAAATTCGGTAAAAGTTCTATGGCAACCAAAAAGAATTCACAAAAGATGAACTGTTTGTCAAATGAAAAAGGCATCAAAACTCGTTCGAGAATTAAACAGAATTTTAATTATGATAATCAAACATCATTTGTCTTCAAATATTTTCGTTATTTATTTTAAAAAAAATTGCATATTTATGCCGAAGCAATTTATTTATTTCAAAACAATTTATACAAAATTAATAACTTTGATCAATTATATTCAATATTTGATAAATATTGAAAAAGGTAAAGTGTCATTCGATGCTTGTTTTATTATTTGTTGATGGGTGATAATAAATTTTCTGTTTTTGAGTATTTTATATTTAATATCAAACATGGAAATATAATATTTTATAACCATAATTTCCAAGTTATGATTAATCATTCTTTGCGAATTCCATTTTCTTGATTTTGTAAATCGTTTTTATCGGTGAAATATAATGAATAGAGATAATATAATACAATAGTTCTCAACTAGTGATATAAATTTGATGATACATAGATAAAATATTAATACAATCAACTAAAAATCTATTTTTAATCTTCTAGTAATTACAAGATAGTTTTTAAAATTATTTTTAAAAAATTAATAAAGAAATTAATATTATTTTTCTTTTATCTAAATACTATTATATAGAAAATTAATATTTTAATGCACAATGAATTTTTTTGATAACTTTAAAAAAAAGAGAGAAACAAGAATGATTATTTAGAATTATTCTACTTCGAAAAAAATAATATATTTTTTATTTTATAAATTAATTTTTTTTAAACAATTTATAAAATTGAGATAATGATATAAAAAATTTTTTATTATAAAATTAGGAATTTCATATTTTTTAGATATAAAATTGCACAAATTCTTTTTTGTATATAAAGGAATGTACAAATGATTTTTCAATTTATATTTCTAATTTTTAATATTAATAATTGTGAATTTCCCAATATTATTCTTAATTTTGCCAATTATTATTTTCTTTCTTTTTTTTAAATATTTCATTTCAATAATATTAGATATCTATAATTTTAAATTTACAAGTAAATATATCCAATATCAATTTTAAATTAAATTTTATTTTCTTTGTTTATTATCGTGAATATAGATATATAATTTGGATAATAGAAAATTTGATTAGTAGAATGTTGAATAGTAAAACGTTCAGATATTATAATATTTGAATAATAAAAATTTTACTGTATACTTTACAAAGTGCTTGGACTTTTTAATTTTAATTTTGATGATACATTTATAAAATAATCGAAAAAACTTAACAAAATATTTAATTATTAAAAATAGATATTTAATTATTAAAAAAATCAGTATAAATACGCTCCATGATATAAATCATATAAATATTATAAAACTTAATATAATTATATAAATATTATATAAACATTAATTTTCAAATAGTTATATCATATAAATATATAGATCATTTGTCAGAAATTATAATTTAACTGTATTTCTCAATTTCTCAGAAATAGAGATTATGCTAACTTATTTAGAGATATGCTAACTTTTTAGAATACTTCAGATTCGTATGTGCAAAGATATAAAAGACGTTTTATTTCTAAAATAAGATTCCAATCGATTCCATTGACGTCTCGAAAACTTTTTCACGTTCGAGACGATCGTTTTTTGACGCGATTTTTCGAGTCGATAATTTTGCATGAAAAAAACTACTTATTCATCATTTCTTGATCATTCAATAAAATAAGTAAATATTATAAACAGTGATGAAAAATTGTATATAATTGACAATCTAATAATATAAAATGTATATATTTATAATTTTATAATTTTATAATTTATCTGGTATAATTTATGAACAGTTTTCTTTATTTTGAATATAAATTCTCTTTGATACATATTTTTTTTAATATCTTATAGATATTCAAATGTTTATGCATTTATGAAAAGTATAAGTGAACAAAAATGATATAAAAAAAAGAAAATAAAATACAAAATATTAAGTCATCAAAGAAATATCCATCTACATCCTTAACTAGACATATTATGCAATCCAATATATTAGCTATTCAACACA